TCTCTTATCGAGTGCTCGGTACCGTGCCTGAGAAACATGAATTCCAAGTGAGTGATAAACCGCATGATTGGGATTGTCCACACTTATTAAAATAAAATAAATGCTAAAGCAAAAGATAAAAGTGAGCTAAAAAGAGTAGAAACTCAAGCATAAAAATATAAAGACTCAAAAGCAAGGTTGCACACCTTGGGGGCTTATCTAGGGTCTTGAGCCTTTAACCCTTTCTTCTTCAAACTTTAGCCTAACCACGTTACAACCCTTAAAAAGACTTTTTTTGAGGTATACACACTTGTGCGAGGTTCGGCTAGAGCTACGTTCGGCCTGATTCCTAACGGATACGTAGGCAACTTCACATCGAGGTGCGGCCGTAATACACATGCATTCATATTCACATTCACACACTTGCATCTTGATCATATCAAGGGATCCTCTGTGCTCATCCCTATTCACTTAGAGCTAGACTTGGGGGCTTGATCCCTACATCATTAGCTTACCTAGCCTAGAAGTCACCACCATTTGACTCTTTTCAATATATTTTCCCACACACTTAGCCCTTGCGGCCTAACTATAGTGTCACTATCACACACACCACAGATACATGACCGAATATACTTCCCTTAGAAACCCTTTGTCATGGAATCTTAACACAACGATGAAGCATGCATGATCATATCAAAATCGCTCATCAATCATAATTGTCATTGCATCACAAAGTACGAAGTGCTTAGCCTCCGTGCCTAAGTTACCTAAATACTTTCATCACTGAGTCAACCATTGGGATAGCCTAGGATGGATTAATCCTTGCACCTTGAGAGATAGTATCAAACAACATTTGACTAAGCTTATTCAACATGCATCTTCAAATTTTCGATTTTCTTTTTCACGTCTTTCTTTTTCGGGAGAAAGACGGTACCCTCCAAAAAATGACGGAAAATTTTTGCTTTTTTGGCATTTTCGAGTCGCACGATCACATTACAATGCACACACGGGTCATGAGTTACACGTGTCATTTCACTTCGAGTCGAGTCAACCTCGAGTCAGTCGATCACAGCGAGTCAAGTTTATGCCTTGAGTCGTGTCAAGTCAATGAGTCAGGCGACATTAAACCTTAGGTCAACCCTAAGATAATTAAAGAAATTGGCAAATTTCTATAGTCAAAAATAAATACAAGTGCAGCAGAATAGGGAAGACCCTACTCCAATTCCTGGCGCAAGAGATATTCCAGCAACGACAGAACATCAATTTCGGGTTCCTTGGTATTCCAGTTAGCTACTATAAGCAATTTGACATGATTAAGTAGTCAGTTTGATTACAATCACAATAAGTGGTCGACCTGATGAAAGATCGTCTCACTTAGCTTAAAGTGCCTAAGAATAGGCTCATCACGGAAACACCGACATACTGGTTTTAGCGGAAACAAAGTTCGGGCGAGCTTTAGAGATCGACAAACGTTGGTCTTCGGAAATTTTTCTTCAGAATATTATCGCAACAAACATTCAATTACCGAAGCTCTATTGTTCAGAGACGCGTGAACATCTCCATCAAAACTCTATTGTTCAGAGACGCGTGAAAATTTCCATCAATCTCTTTAGCTCCAGAGACGCGTGGGCATATCAATCAAGCTCTTTTGTTCAGAGACGCGTGGACATTCCTTACAAGCTCTTTTGCTCAAAGACGATGGGCATCCTATTATCAAGCTGTTCATTCAGAGACGCATGGACACATCATTCAGAAGATCATATCAAAAGACGCTCTTTGTTTAGAGACGCGTGAACATGTCAAAAAGAAGCTCTTTGTTCAGAGACGGGTGAACATCGAAACAGCAAGGTGGCGTTCCCTAGATTGTGGAGAGTTGTCACAAACAACTGAGGATTGTTTCAAGAGAAGCAATTTTCGATAGTATATCCTTGGACGTGGAATATTATCATAGCGGAGGAAGATCGTTTCAGGCGAAGCAATCTTCTATATTGGAAGCAGTTACAGGCGTAGCGGTTTTCAAGCGGGATGGCATTCTCTAGCTTGCAGGAGGTCATCAAAACAACAAGAGTACAGCTGCAAATCGATTACTTTCAGAGACGTGTGCTCGACGGTGCAAGATACGCGTTTCTTAACTCTTTTATCTGTTTAACTAACGTTAGTTTGCAGGTATCGGCGTTATAAGAATGATTTAGGATCGCAGAACGTTCTGAATCATTCTCCGTCCCTATCGCTACTTTGACTTTCGTTTTCGAAACTTGCGTTTCTCCAAACACAGTCAAAATGGGGGCTTCTGTAGACACCCTTTTGTGTTTCCCAAAAACCAAACCCAGTGATGAGTACTTTTCACGTCGAATCATAATCGAATGAAGCAAAAGTGTGGAAAGTCTAGTGTTGCGGATAGTTTTAATTTCTTTTCTCTTCTTTCTATTTTTGAAAACTTCTTTTAAGAAAACAGCCAATCCAGTTTGGTTGGTCCATGATATGGGTCCAATAGTAGTGTAGTTGGATGGGGCTTGACAAGAGCTTTCCAATGATATATTATAAGCCCAATTCCGATGAATATTGAGGAAGTTATGGCCAATTTACTAAACTGGGTCCGGTTTGAGCCTTATATGCGGCCTAATGATCTAGGGGAGGGCCTAATATAGATTTATCATTCCTAATTATTAGGAATGGTTTTAGTCTTCTAGAAGGTTCTTTTCATTCCTAATTCAATTAGCTTTGATAAATTGACTTTTGTTGACTTTTCAGAGTTTTAATTAAAATCAAAGATCATTTTTGAGGAAAATATACGATTTTATCCTCCTGTACGGCAAAATTTATCTAATTTTGGACAACGCGTCAAAAACAAGATTGGCGCCTGGCGCCAATGGCCAATTCCTGGTGCCAATCTTGTTTTGCGTGCGCCAGACTCTGTTTTGTTAATTTTATCTTTTTGGCTGATTTTTTCTATAAATAACGTATTAAAAACTCCGTTTTCATTCAACCGATTCTCATCAACATTCATCTATATTAACCTACAATCAGTTTTCAATTCTCTCTCATTCTCTTTAATCATTCGTTAATTCTCATCAAGATTTCCTTAATCATTCACCATCTTTCTCTTTCTCTTTCTTTTTCTAAACTAGCTTTTACATACAAAATTCCGCATTCATTAGATCTAGAAACACCTAGCCATATTCGAAGTTGCCTTCTAGATAGACGTGAAAGGTTTAATTTCCGAGGGTTTGGTCCCAAATCTCTCTTTCAATTATTTAATTTAATTGTTTGATTTATTATTTTCCTTGAAGTTACTAACGTGTGTATTTTATTATTAGAAAGAGGTACGAGGCATCGAAGTAAGTGCTTTAATGGTTTTTATTGATTTTATGATCATGTTTAGATTGTTATGATATTCCTAGTATCATGTCTAGGGTAAATTTAATATTAAATATGATTGTTGCGATGCTTCCTATGTTCTTCCTAATATTTGTGATTGTTAGTATCATGTTAGGGTTAAAGGTTTGATTTTTATTGCTTAGTGACATGCTAGGGTTTGTTATTAATCTTGTTAGTATCATGCCTAGGATCTTGCTATTATTATTATGCTTTAATATTAACATGAACATGATTATGATTATAATTTTTATAATTTATGATGATTATTATTATTATTATTTTGATGATGATTATTTTATTTATGATGATTATTGTTATGATTATAATTTATGATATTTATTATTATTTTATAATGTTGCTTGATATTTATATTTATTGCTTGATCACACCTTTTTATGCATGTTTAAAGGGAATTTGTACTTGTAATCACGCTTAATAAGATAATTAATAATCTTGTTTAGGGTTAATTTTGATTATAATTCAAGTGATCGCCAATAATAGTTTTATTTGTGCATTAATATTCAACCAACATAGATAAACATATTTAGGGTTAATCCTATTGATTACATGTTAGTCAGAAAGCGCACATGAATACGATCAGAATAAAGTAGAGGCCTATTATTAGGGCAGGTTCAATCTCTTTTCGGTTGGATTTGTACCTTCATCCCCGAACCCGTATTTGGTTCAAGATCTTATGGAGTTGACGATCTCTTGGATCGTTAAGGGGTGTAACCTTTACCCTGTGAACGGTTTACAAGTTCCTAAAACTTGTTGGCAACTCTTTTGCTCTATTTTCTTCCTTTTTGGACGCCACCGTACTTTAGCGTATGATCACAGTGGGGTTCAAGCTAGGGATAACACTTGAAATTATTCCCTACACCTCCTCTTGAAGAGCCTTTAGTCCCCCAAGTGCCTTATTTGATGACTTTTGAGGATGATGATGGGATTTCTAACCAAAAATATTTTGTTGAGAAGAGTATGCCTTCTTCTTTTTCTTTTATTTCCCTTCCTTTTTCTTGTATTCTTGTTTTTCCCTTCTTTTCTTCCCCTTCTCGGCATACCTCCTCTCAACCCAATAGGTGTGCATTATGCTTGTTGCATGCCTTCATTTTGTCATGTGCATACTTACTTTCTTATTCAATGTGTAGTAGTGCATTTGACAAGCTCTTGTGTACGTTGAATTATTATTTTCTAGAGCGGGCAAGCTTGGACCTTAAGCAAGCCTTTCTCGGGAAGTAACCCATGTTTTAATGCTTTCATTTTCTTTTCTTTTGAAAATAGATTTTCTCTCATGAAAATGTCTGTGTGCTTTTTTTTCTAGGTACATGACTTGATATGCACTACTACAAAAAAAGGCAAAGAGACCCTTTTAAATATGTCTGAGAGACCGCCTCAGAACGGGTCTCTATCTCAAGGGTCTCTTTGATAAAGAGACCTGTTCCTTAGAGGGGTTTTTTTTTGTGAGGACAAAGAGACCCGTCGTCAGTAATAGCGGGTCTGTCACACAAATTAGAAAATTGATAATTTAAAAGGAAAAAAGACTCGTTATTTGAGATTAGGGGTCTGTTTGGTGGGTATCAAACAAACCTATCATACCAATTCACGGGTCTCTTTGTTCTTTATTTTTGTAAAAATTAATTAGAAATTATTTTTTGCGTTTGATATGGTTTGCATTTGAAGATTGAATATTTTGTCGCTACACAAATTGGTGGAAAATTAATAAATTTTAAGTACTTACAATACTTTAAGACCATATGAAATAGCATGGGATAAAAATTTTGATATGATACCCAAAAATAAATTAAAAAAAAAAACAACTTTTAAGCAAAACTAACACAAAAATATTTGAAGTCCTAAAATTTACTTCTACATTTACATCAATAAGGCTTGAGTATTCAATTTTCTGCAAGTTCGATGACCTGGAACTTTTGGTCACTCTGAATTTCGCAGGTAAGGAATTTCTGCATGGATTCATCAGATAAGGAACTGAAAAAAAAAAAACATATATATGATAAGACTATAAAACTAAATTGAATCGAGTAATAATTACGTTATCAAACAATCATATTAGAAAAATACAAATTCATCGTCAAATGAACACTTACCAAATCAATTGCAACTCTGTGTGAAAATTGGGTATTCCAAAATTCCCTTTTAATAGTGTCAATTTAGCCAATTTTGATATTGCCCAGTTGTGAAATTCAAACGTAGGCGTAACTAACGCACTTCGTAACTGAAAATAAGGTTAGAAGATGAAATTAAGAACAGGGTTGTGTTTCAAATATAAATTCAAAAACTTGAAATATGAAAACTTGGAGAAAAAAGGCTAAAATTTTTTGAGAAATTACCTTGAATGCTTAATTAGATCTAGATCTAATTGCATCAAAGCACTTCGCAACCGTCGTTGGAGGCTAAGCAACGAGGGATCTTGAAGGAAGAGAATTCTCAAAAATACAAGGACGGAGCACGCATTTGTTCGTAAAATTTGTTGATTAAGGTGGAAAAAGAAGGAGAAGAAGGCATTGATGAGAGAAAATATGGAGGTGTGATGAATAAGTTTTAGAGGAATGTCGGTGTATTGAGAAAGAAAGAGTTGATTATAATTAATGGTGGTATAGCTCAAGAGGAAAAATATTGAGCCAAAAGCATGTCCCTACATCCGTAAATAATGCAAAGTGGAAAAGGGAGATAAGAGACCCGTTGACTCTTACATGGGTTTCTTATTTCACTCCACTTAATAAAGTTGTGGGCTAAGGGCTTATAAGAGACATGTTACCTCTATTAACGGATCTCTTACATCAAACATACCCGTTGGTTATGACAACGGGTCTCTAATTAGGGGTCTTTTTTCCATTTTTTGTAGTAGTGATGCTTTAGCGCATTGGTTTGAATTAACAATCAAGGAAGATTAGCACCACAATTCTAGAGCATGGAAAACAAGTTTCAATTCTTGAAGAAATTAGCTTTGAAAGGTTTAATTGGGTCATTTGCGAGTATATATACCCACCTAAATCCAATAATATCTTCCCTTTCTCTTTCTTTAATGGTTGATGATTTGTTGGACATGTGTTGGTATTGTTGGTTTGATTTCTTTCGTTTCCCCTCTCATGGATTCTATGATTTATGATTTGAGTATATTGTCTCATTCAAGCTTGGGGGAGTGTTTATATCATGTTTGATGGGATGTTGATTCATATATGCCATGTTGTAGGGAATATTTCAAGCATTACCCCAAACTTGAACCCCACTGTGATCACACACTAAAGTACGGTGGCGTCCAAAGAGAAGGAAGATAGAGCAAAAGAGTCGCCAACAAGTTTTAGGAACTTGTAAACCGTTCACGAGGTGAAGGTTAAACCCCCTTAACGATCCAGGATATCGTTAAATCCAATAGGTCTTGAACCATGACTGGTAGTTCGGGGATGAAGGTACAAATCCAACCTAAAAGAGATTGAACCTGCCCTAAAAATAGGCCTCTATTTTATTCTGATCGTATTCATGTGCACTTTTTGACTAACACGCAATCAATATGATTAACCCTAAACCTGTTTAATCTATGTTGGTTGAATATTAATGCACAAATAAACTATTATAGGTGATCACTTGAATTATAATCAAATTAACACTAAACAAGATTATTAATTATCTTATTAAGCGTGACTACAAGTACCAATTCCCTTTAAACATGCATAAAAGGCGTGATCAAGCAATAACAATAAATATATCAAGCAACATAATAATAATAATAAATAATCATGATAATAATAATTATATTAATCATCATAAATTATAACAATTATAATCATAATTAAAATAATAAAATTAATCATAATTAACATAATCATGTTAAAGCACAATAATAATAGCAAGATCCTAGGCATGATACTAACAAGACTAATAACAAACCCTAGCATGTCATTAAATAATAAAAATAAAAGCTTTAGCCCTAACATGATACTAACATGCTATTAGGAAAGAAAATAGGAAGCATCATAACAATCATACTTGATTTAAGGAACTTATTCTTTACCCTAAACATGATAGTAGGAAGATCAAAACGCCCTAACATGACACTAGGAATCAAAATAACAACCTAGACATGATTTCTATATCATAATATCAATGCAAACCATTAAAGCAACTACTTGGATGCCTTGTATCTCTTTCTAATAACAAAATACACACGTTAGTAACTTGAACGAAAATAATGATCAAAAAATTAAATTAAATAATTGAAAGAGAGATTTGTGACCAAACCCTCAAAAATTAAAACCTTTCACGTCTAGGGCCAAGGCAACTTTGAATTATGCTAGGTGTGCCTAGTGCTAATGTATGAGGAATTGTGTTTGTAAAAGGCTAAGCTTATAAAGAGAGAGAATCAAGAAATCCTTGATGAGGGTTGGTGAGAAGAATTGATTATAATTGATGATTGAAAACGGAGGTTTTAGGAGGCTATTTATATTGAAACATCCGGATGGATAAAAAACCGAATCAGAGTTTCGAAGAGAATAAAACAAATTGGCGCCAGACGCCAGGGCAAGCACAGACGCCAAGCTTGGCACTTGGCGCTAGTCCTGTCGTCAGACGCTAGAAAACAGTTTCCACGCGTTTTCTTAATTTGATAAAATTTAGCCGTACAAAAGGGCAAAATCATATTTTCCTTAAAAACACTTCTTTTATTCTGATTAAAACTCTAAAAGGTCAACTAAAGTCAATTTATCAATGTTAATTAAATTATGAATGAAAAGAACCTTCTAGAATAATCTAGAAAACTATAATCAATTCTAATTGCATTAAGAATGATAAATCAATATTAGGCCCTCCTCTAGATCATTGGGCCGCATATAAATATCAAACCAGGGCCCAGTTTAGTAATTTGGCCATAACATCCTCATTATTCATCGGAATTAGGTTTATAATATATCGTTGGAAAGCTCTTTATGAACCCGACCCAAATACACTATTATTGGACCCTTGCCATGGAACAAATTAAATTATATTGGCTGTTTTCTTAAAATAGGTTTTCAAAAACAGAGAGAAAGAAAAAAAATAAAAATTAACCGCAACACTAGACTTTCCCCACTTTCACTTCATTCGATTATGATTCGACGTGAAAGGTACTCCTCACTGGGTTTGGTTTTGGGGAGACACAAATGGGTGTCCACAGAAGCCCCCACTTTGACTGAGTTTGGAGAAACGCAAGTTTCGAAAACAAAAGTCAAAGTATCGGTAGGGACAGAGAATGATTCAGAACGTTCAGGGATCCTAAATCATTCTTGTAACGTCGATACCTGAAAACTAGCGTTAGTTAAAATAGATAAGAGAGTTAAGAAACGCGTATCTTGCAGCGTCGAGCACACGTCTCTGAAGGTAACTGATTTGTTGCTGTTGCATTTCTGTTGTTGTGATTACCTTCTGAAAGCTAGGGAACGCCATCCTGATGTTTGTTTCGACGATCTTCTGCAAGCTAGAGAATATCGCCTGAAGACTATTGCGCCTGTAACTGCCTTCAATTCCGCCGTGATAGTCTTCGAAAAGACCACTGCTTGTTGATCCTTAATGTTACTTGAATTTTGCTGTTGATGCTTTGGGTGATGACAATCCTGTTTTCTTTGGGAATAGTTGCCAACACAACTCTTGTATGATGTAATGAAAATCCGATTTAGGGAAAGTTGTCAATGCCACGTAACAATCCATCCTTGGAAATGTTGCTACGATGAAGCGACAATCCGTATCTTGGAATAATTTGCCAAAATCCAATTTTGGGAAAAGTTGCCAATGCTTCGTAACAATTTGTCATAAGAACCTTGCTACGATCGACAATCCACATCTTGGAATATAACTCTTGAAAGGAATCCACCTTGGAAATTTGCTAATGCTATGCGACGATCCTTTTAGGAAAATATTGCCACAATTGACAATCCGTGTCTTGGAACATTTGCCAAAAAAGAGCCGATCGTCAATCCACTTTGGGAAACTTTGCCACTTGCTGAAATGAATGTCAATCAACGTTGAGGAACTTTTGCCGAAATTTATGATGAGTAGAGACCTACGACAATCCTTTGGGAAATTTTGCCATAGGGAACTAGTTGTATGACAATCCAATCTCGGAAAACTTGCCAAAGATCCATGAATGTATGACAATCTGAACTTGGAAAAACTTGCCAAACAAAGAAGGAGCACGACAATCCACGCATGGAAACTTTCCCAGGTATGACAATCCAATCTTGGAAAAATTGTCGTTTGAAGAAGATGTGCGACAATCCATATTTTGGAAATATTGTCAGTTGGAGATGACAATCTAATCTTGGAAAAATTGTCGTATAAGTGATGTGCTTGCTTTTGAACCGATGCCTTTGTGTTTGTAATGAGCCAATTCTTAGGCGCTTAAGCTAAGTTAGATGCTTTTTTGTCAGGTCAATCACTTACTACGATTGTAATCAAACCGACTACTAACCATGTCAATTTTCTTATAGGGGCTAACTAGCGAACCAAGGAACCCAAAATTGTTGTATGAGGTCGAAATAACCATTCTGAGAGGCTTCGAGCTCTGTCGCTGCTGAAATATCGCTGGCGCCAAGAATTGGCTCTGTCGCCAGACGCTGGGATCTAGCGCCAGGCGCTGAACTTTGTCGCCAAATGACATATGTTGTCGCCATGTGACAGCCTTGTCGTTTGGCGCCGGAGTCGGGTCTTCCTTATTCTGCTCTTGCTGCCGCTGTTGCTTGGTTTTGCTCCGAAGTTTGAGCTTGGTCGTTTCCTTTCAACCAAATCTGCTCAAATCTTGTGTATATTAAAGCTCTTCATCTCTAATATACTAATCTATGTAACTCCTTATTTCTTGGAGGAATCTCTTGTGTCATATTCGCAGTTTTTTTTTTCAAAAAACTTCTGGAATGTCCTCGCTTGCTGGGATGCACCTGCATTAATATTTTTTACTGTAGAACTTTGCCCTTCTTTTTTTAGGGTAGACCTAAGACTTAGTGTTGACTCAATGTGATAACACGACATGACTCAATGTGTACATGACTCGTGTGTGCATTGTAATGTGATCGTGTGACTCGAAAAATGCAAAAAGGCAAAAAATTTCCGTCATTTTTGTGGAGGGTACCGACTTTCTACCGAAAAAGAAAGACGCAAAAAAAAAGAAGCGATGTTTTTGAAGATGCATGTTGAATGAGCTTAATCAAGTGTTGTCTCTCACAGTACAAGGATTGTAACATCTTAAACTATCCTAGTTGACTCGAAAATGAAAGTATTTAGGTAACTTAGGCGCGGAGGCTAAGTACTTCATAATTTGTGATGCAATATGATTGATGAGCGATTTTGACATGACAAGGCATGCTTCAGTGTTATGTTAAGATTTCATGACAAAGGGTTCCTAAGGGAAAGTATATTTGGTCATGTATTTGTGCGGTGTGTTAAAGTGATACTAAAGTTGGGCCGCAAGGGCTAAGTGTGTGGAAAAATATTATTTCAAGAAGAGTCAAATGATGGTGACTCTTTAGGCTAGGTAAGATAATGATGTAAGGATCAAGCCCCCAAGTCTAGCTCTGAGTAGATAGGGATGAGCATTGGAGATCCCTTGATATGATCATGGTGTGTAAATGTGAATATGAATGCATATTTATTACGGCCGCACCTCGATGT